TGGCTAGAGAGTTAATGTAGCCAAAAAAATTTCTAAACCTCTCCTAAAGCAAGTGCTTGCAGAATCAATAGGATCATTGGTATCACTGGTTTTAAGAACAAGGATTTTCCTTTCAATTACCTTGGATGTCAGATTTCTATTGGCAGAAAAATATTGAATATTTTGATAATAATCTGGCCAAGGTAGTCAATAGGCTTAATGGTTAGCATGGTTAATTGTTATCCAGTGGTGGCAGGATAATTCTCATCAAGCATGTATTACAATCCATACCTACTTATACCCTCACTGCTACGAAACCTCCTAAAGGGATCCTAAATCTTATGAAAAAATATTTTACTAGATTCTTTTGGGGCTCTTCGGGGGACAAGAATAAATATCATTGGAGTTCCTGGATGAACCTTTGTTATCCTAAAGATGAGGGGGGAATTGGAATTAGGATTATGAAGGAGATCAGCGATACTCTAACTATGAAAAGATGGTGGAGGTACAGGACTCAACCTTCGTTATGGTCTTCCTTCCTACAAGCTAAGTCCTGCTCTAGGAAACATCTTGTTACTAGGAAAGGTTATGCTAATACCTCTCATGAATGGAAGAACCTTATAAGGATCAAGAAGAAAGCAGAGCCTAATATGATCTGGAAACTTCAAGCCGCTACTTGTAGTTTTTGGTGGGATAATTGGACAGGAAAAGGTGCATTAACTAATCTATGTCATAATGTTCGTACCCCTGCCAAAACTCATGTTAAGAACTTCTTTCAGAACAATCAGTAGAATATTGATAAGCTTCAAAGAATTGTCCCTACTCACATGGTTCAACAGATATTGAAAGTTGAGATTGGTCCTATCTTCCAACCTGACTTCACCATTTGGAATCTTTCCCATAACGGACACTATTCTAACAATTCTGCATGGAAAATTAATAGGAACAAGAGACAATAGGATCCTTTTCTCGCTAAAATCTGGTATAGTAGTATGCCTTTTAAAATGTCCTTCATTTGTTGGAGACTGCTTAAAAGAAAACTTCCTTTTGATAATACTATTAGCAGGTTTGAGAATCAGCTAGTATCTAGATGCTCTCGGTGCACCAGGCCTGACGTAGAGTCCATTCAACATGTCTTTATGGAGAGTGATGTTGCTCAGTATATGTGGAATAAATTTGGATCTCCGTTGGGGATTAAACATCAATGTTGGCAGGTAAATAGAACCATAAAATATTGATGCGACATGAGACCTACTAACACTATCCATAAACTGATTTTGCAGGTTACCCCTATTGTGATAATATGAGAAATGTGGAAGGATAGATGTGCATACAAATATGGCAAGCAAAGGAAGATGTCTACATACAGAATGGAGCATCAAGTTTCATGGAGTATAAAGACAATACTTGAAAAAAAATACACCAACAATGATTTCAACTTGCCTTGAATAAAGCTCTGTGAAGCAGCGGAACATCTTAAACTTGTACCTAATGGCTGGAGGTACTCTGGAAGGAACCTCCTAATGGCACGGTCAAGACAAACACTTGTGGAAGCTATAACACCAATACGGGCAAGGCTGGAATGGGTGGTGTAGTGCGAGATGAACAGGGAGATATTAATTATCTTTGCTTTCTCAATCCCTGTCCAGTGTAATAGTAACAATGAAGTAGAAGCATTAGATGTTATGTATGGGATTAGCTGGTGTATTATTAATGGATATACCAATCTTTGGCTGGAACTGGACTCTAAGATTATCTCGGATATGCTAAGGAATAGGGTCACGAATAACTTGAAGCTAGACCATTATAGAGTGCACTCTACAGTTGCTAGAGAATGCAACTACACAGATCTCTCACTGCTACAGAGAAGCTAACAAAGTAGCAGACTTCATGGCAAAAAAAGCATTTGACCAAGCTATGGAGTCCTTTTACCAATCTTATTATAGTCTGCCTAAAGAAGCTAAAGGAATTTTCCAGTTAGACAAAACCCAGCTTCCCAGCATAAGACTAAGATATGACAAAGCTAACTTCTATGTCAGTTATTTATTTTTTTGATGTACTGATCTGAGGTTTAGAATAATGTAGGGGAATTCTCTCCCCTAATATAGCCTTTTTTTGCCTCTATTTAACAGATTGAGCCATACCAATTTGTTAATTGTAATATTGTATCTTAGAGGTCAGGTCTAGCCCCCTCAATAGTTATCTCTAAGATATAATACTCCTACTTAGGATACAGCTGAGTAGTTCTTTTTAAATAAAAAATGATAAACGTGACGACCGTAACATGCACTCACAATATGATAAATATGACGACCGTAACATGCATTCGCAATACCATAAATGTGACGACCGTAATATAAACTCACAATATGATAAATATGATGATTCTAATATGTACTCACGATTTGATAAATGTGACGACTGTAATATGCACTAATAATATGATAAATGTGTGGACCGTAATATGTACTCACGATATAATATTATGTAATGACTAGAAATTATATTGTAATCGTAATAATAAATAAATGGTGGATATATATGAATAATTTCTCAGCTTTTGATTTTGATTTCTCAGAATGCATCTATGGTGTCTTTTAAATAACGAACTAAATTGGGTGACTCTTAATGTCTTTTGTTATCCTTTTGGTTAAACAGAATACTTTGATCAATAACAATTCCAGTTTAAGCTTAAAGAAGACTTGTGTAAAAATCTTTTCCGTACTTCAAAATCATTGAATTTCACAAATTATCCAGAAATTATATGTTAATGGGTCGTTTGGTTTACATACTATTAGTTATGTGATGATTAATTATAATGCATGATTGTTTACATTGTGATAATAAGAAGTTAAGACATTGTTATACATGATTATTTTATGCATTGAAGATTATTTTATGGATTATTTATGCATATATTATTTGTCTAATTATGCGACCAAGCGGACATTGTACTAGGTTATACGAGATTTTATTCTAAAATTAATTATTCATATACCATCAATCAAACGACCCTAAATGATTAAATCAGTCAAAAACTCTACTCACTGGAAGCTAATATTCATAAATGAAAACCTAAAAAGGTAAGGAACGTAGAAACAATAAACTAGAAATATATAGAGAACAGTATATATATATTATTTACATTGTAATCTTCCTTTCATGTTAAAAGCAACTTAGGAAATACAAATTCACTACAAATATGAGTCAAGAATTGGATTAACTCTGGGGCTGTGGAAAAAAAAAGATCGCGTTGAACAAAAAGGAGAAGACGTACAAAGAGAGGGACATACAGTGTAAAATTCCATATTTGGGGATTTTTACATAACTAGCGAATCGGATTCACTATTTCTTTTTATTAATCAAACTGATTACATACAGTTATACATATATTATATATCGATAATACATATATTATATAAGATGCATTTGCCACTTGAGTTTACATATTTCCGCTTTCTCCAAACATTTGGAAAAAGCATCAATTTTGAGCTTACTACTTAATAGGAAATTGATGTTAATATCAAAGGCTTTATTTAATTCAATATGCAGCTTTTACACCAATTAGTATACCAGACGTGAATATTACCTGGATAAAGGAATGAGTATAGTGATTTAGCATTAGTTTGTATTCAATGTTACACTACTAGTTTTACAGCAATCTCAACATTTCATTTGCTTTTTATTTCCTTTCTGGAGAAAGAAATGAGTACATAACTTTTTTTGCACTAAATGAAACACCGTTACCTAGAAGTACTGTACATAGGTCGGGTTGGTTCAAATTTTTTAATTACCAAACCAAATTAATGGTGTTGGGTTTAAATCTATTAACCAATCAAACCAACAAATCGGGGTTTTCAATCTCGGTTTTTCTTGGGTTTTCGGATTTTTTCTGATAAAGTCTTCATAACATAAAATGTGTAACTTGTGCTCCAAATATTTCTTTAGTCTTAGTAAGATAGAAAATAAAATAATAATATAGGATAAGTCATAGTATTATACTAAAATATTCAATAAAAAAGATAATAAAATTGCACATAAAGCAAATATTGCTAAATAATAAGTCATAATAAAAATTAACATAATCTAAAAATACTATATAGATCACTCCAAAATAAGTATAGTTAATAAGTACTATTAGTTACATAACTAAGCACTAAAGAAAAATATAAACTAAGTTTTGCATTTTCATTATAAACCAATGTAAAATTAAAAAATAGATATCCAACACTATCGTCATTCCTAGTTTTGAATTGAATTCTTTTGTTAGCATTAGTATTGATTTGAACTTTGTTTGAGTTACTACATTTTTGGGCTATAAAAAATTATACTATTCAAAAATGCTAAGTCCAAATTTGAAATAATACATTAAAAGATAAAACTGTAAAAAAAAAATTAAAAAATATTTATAAATTATATTTCAATAAATATTTATATGTATAAAATATTTTTAAAAATTATATAGATGTACTATCGGGTTGGTTTGGTTTCGGTTTGACTTTTTTAAGTTAAAACCAAACTAAACCAAACTGATTATGATCAGAGTTTTTTTTTTCCAATACCAAACGAAATCAAACCGAAGCACAATCAAATTTTTTTTTTTTAGTTTGACTCGAATTACCGATTTAATGCGGTTTATCGGTTTTCTTTGTACACATCTTTACTACTAGTGAAGGAATTTGTCTTGTGAGTGGAAACTCTATACGTTTTTCATCATTTTAATTTTTCATTTTACTAGGTAACAAATTATGGGAGAAGGTGGTCTTCTAGATGATTACATTAATTTGATTTAGACATGGAAGTAATATAATTGGCATGGTGCAATTATATTACTTTAAAGGGGACTAGCTAGTCTCGCACACATAAGAGATTTGAGACATGATTTGCAAAATTTTGTTACTATCATTCCTTCCGTGTTGGAATCATTAAAGTGAAAGATTGCGTTCAGAATTACTTGTAGAGCCATGGCTAGACCAATAATGATCAAGAGAAATTAAACTCCTATATATGACGCCCCTTAATTATAAATAAAGCTACCATTTTCTCTCCTTCTCTAACTTCCTCCAATCCTATCCATGGCTTACATGATCCTTTTCAAGGTAGCCATCACCATTTTAAGTATTACTTTTAACAGAGTTTCTGCGTCTGATCCAGATCCACTCCAGGATGTTTGTGTCGCTAATTATAACTCATGTTAGTATTTTTTTCAATAATCAATTTCTTATCATCCCATGCATTTTCTCCATGGTTTTACTTATACTAACAAACAGTTATGTTTTTCATTGATAGAGAATTAATGTATGTGTCTTTTAATTTCTCAATGTCCTTACTGTTGTTTCTACCAATTATATACAACTTCTTCATCTATCAAAATTATTTTCTTATGTAAACATGGAAATTAGTATAAGCAAAAAGTCTAGCTAGTTTAAAGCGTCTTTGGAGCAATTTAACATGCAAACGACACATATGTATGTATGATCATTTATATATATTTACTATATATCGATAATGTAAAATCGTATTTCACAACTAATTTAAATTAACTTGTTGCAGTAGCTTGGTATAATTAACCAACTTTATTTTCCAGGTTTACAGGTTACTAATGACACCGACGGTTATAATGTATATTGTTTGCCGCTCCCGAAAATAATAACCAATGAATTTCTTTTTTTGTTTGGATATATGTGTTTTGTAGAAATATAATATATAAATTTTATACTCTTTTTGGCAAACAAATGTAGTTAGTTTCGGCCTATTGGTCAATTTTATACTTGTCCTTATCTTTTAGGTAATTTGATAGCGTAATAATATTACTTACATCATATGGTACTATATAACTTAAATATTTTATTTTTACCATAATATTAATTAATTATAAACAGCTGTAACGGTGAATGGATATGCATGCAAAAGTAATTACACATACACACCAGAAGATTTTGCATCAATGGCAATTGCACAACCAGGAGAACCAAATATATTTGGCACTAAAGTCGGTGTAGCCAACGTTGACAACATGCCTGGCCTTAACACACTGGGAATGTCATGGTCTCGAGTAGACTTCGAACGTGATGGTTTAAACCCTCCACATACTCACCCACGAGCCACAGAAATAATTTTCGTGCTTGACGGTGACTTAAGGGCTGGATTCATCACTACGGACAATGTTTTTGTTAACAAGTTGATTACAAAGGGAGAAGTCTTTGTTTTCCCAAGAGGTCTCATCCATTTCCAGTTTAATGTCGGCAAAAGTAACGCAAGTATACTTGTGGCATTCGATAGCCAGAAACCTGGCGTTCAGCCTGTAATTTCCATGTTTGCAACTAAACCTAGTATTCCAGATGATGTTATGGCTAAGGCATTCCAAACTAGTGTTGAGGAAGTTCAGAAGATAAGGGAAAGACTTGTACCTACGAATGTGACCATGGAATATAGTCATGCAATTATGTAGTCAATTAATATTGTAAACATAATAAATAAATATGGTGGATATGAATTATTTATTTATATTTATTTGTACGGTCCATCTCTTTGTCTCTAGCTACAAAGGCACAAGTCCTATATAAATGATTGTAGATTTTTACTGTTTTGTTTTGATTTCTATAACGCATCTCTGGTGTCTTTTAAACAACAAATTAAAATTTTGGTAATGCGTAACATCCCCTTCTCTCTTTTTAGGTTAATAGAATCTTTTTATTATAATTCAAGTTTAAGCTTAAAATAACTTGTATAGATTTTTTTGCCATACTTCACATGTTAGTTATGTGAAAATTATAATGCATGAATTGTGTATGCGGTGATTAAAAATAAAGTCTGTTATACACAAATTACTAAATATTGAAGCCCAAAGAATTAACCTAAATAATCGCTCACACAATGCTTAAAATAAAAATAGCCGGTGAATATATATAATATGTGCATAATTCATAGAAGAATTAACCCAAATAGCCACTCACCCGATCACTTAAATTAAAAATAGCTGGTGATGTATAATATATGCATAATTTATTTACTATATGAGTATAATCAATATATAATCAATGTATATGACTAGAAAAAATAAATAATGAATATGACCAGCTATTTATGTAAAGATCCCTAATATATAATATGTGTATAATCATATATAATTACTGTATAATTTATGTATATTGGCTACAAAAACTAAATATTAAATAGTCGGCTATTTATATAAAGATCCTAACACACGTATATGTGCGTCCTGCTCTCATTCGCGAGCCTAATGTAAAGGAGGTTGTCTCCAAGATGAGTTTCTCTCTCTATTCTCTTCTGTTTTCTCGCAGGATGGACTTGGATAGGAGCGGAATTACGTTAGTTGATTGGATTCGGAATTGAATTGTGTAATTGATTAATTTGTCTTTTTAAATTATATATTCTCCCTGTTTTTAAGGTCAATTTAGAATCTAAACTACTTGGATATTTTTTAATTGGGGAGGATAGAACTTAGAAGATGGCATAATTAACTGTTGCTTCTGTTCACATTAGGAGAAGACTAAACCAAATTAAGAAAAAATTTCCCAGCAACAAACACGGATTTTCTAAGAATCGGGGTAGTCTATTAACAGTTTTGATAAATTCGATAGAGGCCCAAATTCAAATATTCATGAATAGTTGTATAGGGACCATTTGTATACTATATGATTGATGTTCATAAGAATAAAATGTATGTCTTCAGTTCCAAATAACTACTTATATTTGAAGACGAGTTGATTCCACAAAGCAGAAAATTTGGAAGTCCTCTAACTAATCTAACTGCCCCTACTCTTTCTTTATCGGGTTATAATGATTTTGTGACTTTTTGGATTCTTTCTCTCGTCTTACTACTGTTTATCAACAAATATCGTGACTATGGCAGGGCGGTACGCTCTGCTCTCTCGCGCCCCCTACTCTAATCAAAAGACTTAAAGGCCCCTACTGAAGATAGATCGTCATCTCAGTGCCAGTTATAAGGTTAGGAAAGCCAGGTATAATGAAATCCTCTTTTCGAATAGGTTATTTACTTGTTGATTTATTAATTATCTATGTAAAATCATAATTTTTACTCGTTCCATTCAGATTTGACTTGGACGTGGTCCCTTTGGAGGCCTTCTGTAACGATCCGACCGGTCGTTTTGAGTATTACAACTCCATTCCCCCATTTACTTCTCAATTTATACTTTACAATTGTTATATGACTTGCCGGGGTAATTGGGTCGGATCTGGTGAGGTTTTGAAATGAATTTAGACACTTAGTCTCCAAGATGGAAGCTTAAGTTGAAATAGTTGACCGGAAGTTGACTTGTGTGTAAACAACCTCGGAATAGAGTTTTGATGATTCCAATAGCTCCGTATGGTAATTTTGGACTCAAAAGTGGGTCCGAAAAATTATTTAAAAGTCCGTAATTAAATTAGGCTTGAAATGGCTAAAATAGAAATTTAAGTTTGGAAGTTTGACCGGGGAGTTGACTTTTTGATATCGGGGTCGGAATCATATTCTGAAAATTGGAATACGTCTGTTATGTCATTTATGATTTGTATGCAAAATTTGAGGTCAATCGAACTTGATTTGATAGGTTTTGGCATCGAATGTAGAAATTGAAGTTTTTAGTTTCATTAAGTTTGAATTGGGGGTATGATTCGTGGTTCTAGTGTTGTTTGATGTGATTTGAAGTTTCGACTGAGTTCGTATGATATTTTAGGACTTATTGGTGTATTTGGTTGAGGTCCCAGGGGCCTCGGGTGAATTTCGGATGGTTAAACGGATCAAATTTGGACTTGGAGCAATTCTAAACTTTTTTCAGTTCTGGTGCAATCGCACCTGCGATGGAAATGGTCACAGATGCGCGACCGCAAAAGCGACAAAATGGTCGCAGATGCGGCCTGGACTAGGAAGGGCAGTGGCCGCAAAAGCGGAGTCGCACCTGCGGCTTCGCGATCGCAGAAGCGGAAAAGGGAAGGGCCAAGCCTCATCGCAGAAGCGGACAGCTTCTTCGCAGAAGCACCTCAGACCGTAGAAGCGTGAAGGCCCTTGCATCTGCGAGATCGCAGATACGGCTAAGTGCATCGCACATGCGAAAAATGCCTGGGCAGAATATAAACGAAGGGTTTGAGAGTTTTTCTCATTTTTGGACATTTCAAGCACGTGTTGGACAAATTTTGAGCGAGAATTCACGGTAAAACTTGAGGTAAGTCACTTGTGATCATTTCTACTCCATAATATTGAATTATCATCGGATAATCCGACTAGATTACGTATTTTTGAGGTGTAAATCGGGAATTTTGGAAATTTGACCTAGGGATTAAAAAGTAAGATTTGATGATTTGGAGGTCGAGTTGATATCGGAATTTGGTAAAATTTATATGGTTGGACTCGTGGTTGAATGGGCGTTCATATTTTGTAACTTTTATCGGATTCTGAGACATGGGGCCTACGGGCAATTTCTGAGTGTAATTTCGGATTTTGCTGGAAAATTGATATTCTCATATGGAATTAATTCCAATAATTTGTATTGACTGAATCAAATTAATTGTGGCTAGATACAAGGCTTTCGGAGACCAATTCATGAGGCAAAGGCATAGCAGAGTAAAGAATTACACGGTTTGAGGTAAGTAACACTTCTAAACTTGGTTCTGAGGGTATGAATCCCTAAATTTGGTGTTATATAAATTGTTTGAAGGTGATGCACATGCTAGGTGATGAACATGTGGGAGTGCACCATAGAAATTGTGACTTAAATAAATTTTGTGAAGTTGTAAATTTAAAGAATCATGTTATTATCTGAATATTCTCCACGTGTTAGGAAATTGAGTTGAGACTCTTATTAAAGATCATGTTTAGACTATGTGCCGATATTTTGGGACCCCTAGGATTGTGTTACTGTTGAATTTAATTGTTTTAAAAAATATATATATTTCATACTCATTCATATTCATCCATTGTGAGGATATTTATGGGATCGGGGCTGCCCACATGCAGTAGGCCTTATAGGCTTTATTATTATATGGATCGGGGCTACCCGCCTGCAGCAGGCCATATAGGCTTATATCACGCTTGGGCTGAAGGAGCCCCTCCGGAGTCTGTACCCCCCACAGTGAGCGTAAATGATTTATATACGGGATGGACTTCCCAGGGCATGGACTTGCCTTACTTATTTATATTTGTGATGAATTTTTCTAGACATGGATCTTGTCCGAATCATTTATATTTGGGGATAAATTGCCCCAGGGCTGGATTGGCCTCATACGGTACCCTGACTGTCAGTCGATGTGTGTATATATATAGGATGGAATATCCCTGGGCTGGATTGTCCATAAACAGTACTAAGTGACCGAGCGATTAGTGATCAGGAGTACACGAGGTTTTCCACTGAGATGTCATATTCCTCATATCATGCAGTATTGATCTATCTTACTTGTACTGAGTTTAACTGTTGAACTTGAAAGTATGCCTACATTTCTGTACCGTTATTTATATACTAGACTGTACCTGCGGAGCTCGTCACTACTTTCAGCCCAGATGTTAGTCTTGTTACTTATTGAGTTGGTTGTACTCATACTACACTCTGCACCTCATGTGCAGATCCAGGTGCTTTCGGACACGGCGACTGCTAGATTTCAGAGTGCTATTAATTGGATACTATCAAGGTAGTTATCTGGCGTCCGCTGACCTTGACTCTCTTTCTTTCAGTTATTGTATTGTTCTATACTTTCGCACAGTGTTTTTATCAGTCAGACTTTGTATTCATTTAGATGCTCATGTATTCAGTGACACCGGGTTTTGGGAGTGTTTTGTATCTGTAATTGTGAGGCTTTCTATTGAATTCAAGTATTATGTATTCAAACTTAAAAGATATTGTGTTTTATTGAGGTTGTCGGCTTGCCTAGTATTGAGATAGGCACCATCACGACAGGTGAGATTTTGGGTCGTGACACCTTCAATCATCTTTGCATAACGACCGAGTGTACTCAATATATAGAGAATGCATGTTATTTACTAATTAAGGCCAATTAAAGTCTCCACTAATGCTTATTTGCATTGTTTTTTTGTGTGTGTGTTGGGTAATGTTTATTCTGGTAGCAATTTACAGTTTAGTTAATATATGTATAGCTTATATGTCAATTTCTGTATTATTTTATATCAAGAACAATGTGATATAGGCAATATATATGATATATCATGATTAGTTATACTATGAACCTCTTATTTTCACGTTCCAACTCTATCTCAAATTTAAAAAAGAACAAGTTTCTGAAAATATGATTCTGCTATTCCTATAATATATTTTTATCAGGTGAATTACGCACCGGCCATTTGTTTGGTGTCAAATTAAAGAGCTATATTATAAACTACAAAACTGGAGCAATATATTTTCAATAGGGACGGCATCCATCTTTGGATGGATTTGGTTATATCCTTCATTCTCCTCTCTTAAAAAATTAATGGACCATTTCAGATTCTCCTGCTTGTTAACTTTTCTTAAAGAGTGGGAAGGATATTAGAAAATATTATATCCTCAGTAATAAA